AGTAGGTAGCTAGTAGTGTAGTAGTAGTAGTAGTAGTAGGTAGTAGTAGTAGTAGTAGTAGTAGTAGTAGTAGTAGTAGTAGTAGTAGTAGTAGTAGTAGTAGTAGTAGTAGCAGCAGTAGCAGTAGCAGTAGTAGTAGTAGTAGTAGTAGTAGTAGTAGTAGTAGTAGTAGTAGTAGTAGTAGTAGTAGTAGTAGTAGTAGTAGTAGTAGTAGTAGTAGTAGTAGTAGTAGTAGTAGTAGTAGTAGTAGTAGTAGTAGTAGTAGTAGTAGTAGTAGTAGTAGTAGTAGTAGTAGTAGTAGTAGTAGTAGTAGTAGTAGTAGTAGTAGTAGTAGTAGTAGTAGTAGTAGTAGTAGTAGTAGTAGTAGTAGTAGTAGTAGCAGTAGCAGTAGCGGTAGAAGTATGAGTAGTTGTTGTTGTTGTTGTTGTTGTAGTAGGAGTCGTGGTGGTAGCGGTGGGAGTAGCGGTAGAAGTCGTAGTCGTTGTCGTTGTCGCAGTGCTTGGGGATATACTAGGGCCTTCTTGGCGATATGTGGAGACATCTTGGGGATATACTAGGGCCTTCTGGGCGATATGTTGGAGGTCTCGGAGCCCTTTGCGGGCTCTCCTGGGGCGCTCTTGGGGCCCTCTCTTGGGGCTCTTTGGGAGGGGTCTGGGAGGTATCTTGGGGCCATCTTTCGGGCGATCGATCACAGATGGGGCGAGCATTTTTCTCCCCCCCCCCGTCGGGGCCACGCTCCTCGTGAGGGGTGTCGAATTTTAGCCCTCCCAGGAGTCGAAAAAGACCCCTCCGACCACCCGCCGAAGGACCTCTCCAGGCCCAGGGGGAGGGGTTAGGGGGAGGGGTAAACCCCTCCCCGAAGGGGAAGAAGGGGGTTGAGAACAGAGCGGGCTCTCTAAACCACTCACGCCCAAAGGGCTGGTGGGATTACTGCGTACTTGACGAGGGTGTATGACTCCAGGGACGCGAAGAACGTTTAATTTACGACGGATCGTAGTTTCAGGGACGCAAGCATTGTGTACCGTATGAGAGAGTATTGCCTCGGAGACGCGACTATTGCGCCATTTACGCGAAAGAATGATCTCGGCATCGCGAAACTATAGAATTTGCAAGGGTTTATGGTTTCGGGGATGCGAATGTTGTGAAATTCAAAAGAGGTTCTGGCTTCGGGGGCGCGACGATGTAGTTGTCGACGGATCATGGATTCGGGGGCGCGAGTCTCTTCCACGTGTCCCAGGGTACCCGGAAATTTTGAGAACCCCCAAGAAGCTCCCAACAGGCCTCGAGACAACCCCGCGCGGCGCCAGGGGCCCCTAGGGTATCCCAATAGGACCACCAGGACCCTCTCCTGACTCAACATCCTTCTCCAATTGCCTCTTATTGTTCTCCGTCGTCGTCATCGTCGTCGTCGTCGTCATCGTCATCGTCCTCCGCATTCCTCGTACTCGCCCTCGTTCTCTTCGTCCTCGTCCTTGTGCTTCTCTTCCTCCTCGTTGTCCTCATGCTCATCCTCGCTATCCTCACGTTCTCCACGTTGTCCTCGTCATCGCCTCCTCGTCGCCCTCGGCTTACTTTTTTCTTCCTCTTCGCCCACTACGCCCATTGGACTACGTGGCGTTTTTCGTTCTTGTCCGATCAGATGTTTGTTTCGGCATGGCAGTGTTTATCCACCATGCGATGTTGCTAAAACTGATGGGCAGACCAAGTCGCTGTATGTGATGTCTGCAGTGCCTTTATGTCAATCTTCCCGTGAGAGCGTGGCATGTCCAGGGCCGCCTCGTTAAAAGTTGAGTGTCATGGGGTGTGGGTGTGGATGAGACGAGCCATGTTTGAATGCTTTCTTCCACTGCTGTCTGCATGAGGAAGGTGCGATGTGCATCGGGCGCGAGTAGAGGAATTTGTACTGCCATGAAATCGTCCCCAGTTTGGACCGTTTGGTGGTGGTATCAATTAGTTCTGGGCTACGGATTGCACCAGGCACCCACGCTGGCGAATTTCTAAAAAATTGCCGTTTCGCTCGAGTCACGTGCTCCACGTCGTCCTCGTCATCGCCTCCTCGTCGCCCTCGCCTTCCTTTGCTTCTTCTTCTTCTTCTTCTTCTTCTTCTTCTCCTTCATTCCTCCCCCAATGAGCACCCAAGAGCGCCCCAATAACCAACACCGACCTCATGTGCGCGACGCTGGGGCGAGGTGCGCCACGCGTGCCAGGTGCGCCACGCGCGCCAGGCACCCCTGGGGCCCGAGCTTGCCAGGCGCGCCTGGTGCGCCAGATGCGCCATATGCGCCAGATGCGCCACGCGCTCCGCGTGCGCCAGGTGCGTCGCATACTCCAGTCGCGCCAGGTGCGCCACGTTCGGGGCACGTGCAGAGTGTGTCAGGCGCGTCTGCGCACGTGACAGCGCACATCGGGAAGCATGTCGGCCCCCACCATCCTTGTCGAAAACCGATGCCCATCATTGTGTCTGGTGGGCCTGCACACAGCAGGCCATACGCCACCACCCTCGCCGTCCCTGTCAAAAACCACTTGACAATGATCGCGGGGTGGCCGCGCACGATACAGATTTAGCCAGAGGTGCATTTGGTAATGTTGTTTGTCAGGGATGGTAGCCCTGCGCACAGCAGGCAATATGCTGACACCCCTGCCGTCCCTGTCACCCATACGAAGTGCTCGCGGGCCTCACGAACATGTCTCAAGATGAGGAGGAGGAGGAGGAGGAGGAGGAGGAGGAGGAGGAGGAGGAGGAGGAGGAGGAGGAGGAGGAGGAGGAGGAGGAGGAGGAGCCTCCCTGCCCCGCGTGCCTCCCCGCGTGCGCCCCGCGCGCGATCCGCCCAGGGTGAGCTCTGGCAGCACTTGCGGGGCAGGCAGCGCCGGGGCTTCGCACAGGCGCCGTTCGCGCGCCAGCGCGCGCGGCCAGTGGGGAGGGTCTCCGGGGGGGGGGACCTGTCCCCAAGGGGGGAAGGTATCGGCCCCCAGTCACCCAAACATCGCTTATCGGGGCATGTGTGCCCCACCCTGTCCTTGAAAACGCTATTTCCCCCACGCGAGACTATTGCCATTCGATCGGCGATGTATCGCCGGTCCCAGTTCGATGTTTCGCCCCCTGCGCCAGTCCCCCCCCCATGGGCTCCCCTCAGGAGCAGACAGCCGCCCCAGCCCAGCCCACATATCCAGCGCCTCGACACGTGGAGGTGTCCAGTCAGTAGTTTTGTTTGTATGTTTGTTTATCTGTTTGTTTGCTTGCCTATTTGTTTTTTGTTTTGCCTCTGGGGCAGGTTTTCGGGCTGCGCGGCCGTCAAATAGGCTGCTCGAGACACGAAGCCAGCCCTACGGGAGGGGTCGGGATGCCGGGGTGCTCGCGTCTCGTCGGGGGGGCAGATCGGTACTGTCGAAATGGGAGGCAGCAGCAGCAGCAGCAGCAGTTCCAGCCTATATTGAGCAGGCTTCGCTGTCGGTGCCGCGGCGAACGTTTGTCCACTGGATGCATACGTTCTATGTCCAATACTGTATATCAGACGTGCGGCGCTCGCCGTTCGTTTGGGGAGCACTTTGGTTCCCGGGTCGCGCTGATATTTGGCCTACCGTCGTCTCGCACATGTTGCGCCAAAGCTTTCCTGGCGCCTGCCAGGCAGCGGCTGCTGTCGCTTTTGAACAGCATTTGCTGTCGGGCATCGTCCCCATGTTTTCCCTTTTTTCCACTTGCAAGCCTCAGCGGAGAGTCTTCAGCAACGGCTTAATGGGTACTTTGGAAAGTTGCCGAAAGTTATCCCTGTAGGGCCTCTTTCTGGCATCGCAGCGTTGCTCTCATCGGGGAGGGTTGGGTTTGCTGGGTCACTGGTCAACGTACCCGTCAGTGGAGTCCGTTCAAGGGGCGCCGAAGCCTCCCCAAGTTCCTTTTTGCGCGCCTCTGCGGGTTGAAGTTTTGGCCACTTTCGGCCTCTATGGAACCCCTGCCGGGCCCCGGGGCCGTCCTCGAACGTATTGGCACCACGAGGCGTGTCTGGCTATTTGTCTGCCTCCTTGTCGGGCGCCAGGGCCGTTTAGTAGGGACTCGGGGTGACGAGCAGGTCTGCACTTTCGACGGTCCACGATGAGAAATCACCGCGACCCCCGGGATCCGGTCTTCCTCTGTAGGGAGGTCCGTGCCGCCTCGGCGCCACTGGCGCAGGCGTTCAGTGCCGAGCAGCCTCTCCTGGGGGTTCGTTTCAGGTCCCAGGGCCCTGGAGACCACCGACGGCGCTGACCGAGAGCTTCTTCTGGGTGCAGGGGAGCGGAGATCGTTCAAGGCTGATCGAGTCACATGGTGTCCACAACCAGGTCCCACGCTGCGATGACAGAAACTTGCCGACCTTATTCCTGTTTGCTCTTCCAATCACTTGTTAGCCCTCCCCTCCGTGTCCTCCTGCTTCCGTGCGAAGCTGCTGCGTCTCGTCTATTTATATGAAGCCTTCTTCGGAGTTCGGAGACCAGAGTCAGAAGTGCGTCAGCCATCGGACCTTCGTGTGACTTGGGGGCCAGTCCGTGAATCCAGCGCTGCTTTTTTTGGACCACGGGTGCGTTGCAGCAGGTCCCACTGCGATGAAGCAGGAGCACGAGCTTGTCCTTCTGCCCATTTCCTCCCTCCTCCCAACCCCTCCTCCCAGAGGAGGGCCAGGACGAGGCACTTGTGGCCCTTCCGAACGAGAGGGATATAGGAATGAGGAGAGAGGAAGGAGGAGGAGGTGGATGAGAAGGAGGAGGAGGAGGAGGAGGAGGCAGGGGCAGGGGGGAGGAGGGCGGAGGGAGGCGCGCCGCCGATGCCTCAGCCAATCCTTCTCGTACTCTGAGTTCCGCCGTCTCCTCCTCCATGTCTTCCAGCCTCAGCGCGAAGCCCGTCCGTAGCCATTGCGGCTAAAGGTGCTCTGCTCCATAGCGGAACGAGTGGATAACGTTAGTCCGCGGCAACCGTCAGCAATTTCAGGGGAACCGCACGCGGTCAGCCCAGGCTCGCTGGCAGCTCCATCCCCTTTTCACGCAGCGCTCAGTGTCTTGGTTTCGCCGGTGCTAAGAGTGAATTCAGCGTGGATTTGCGTCTTCGTTTTTCATTTTTATTTTCCTTTTTTCTGATATGCGCGATCATGTGGCTCGGGCGTTCGTGTGAATGCCGCGTGGCCAGCGGATTTCGAATGTCTTCCGTGCCCTTGATTCTTCCTCATCGTATTCATTTATATTATTCCTCTTGCCTGCATTGTTTTTCTCTTCATTTCCTTCCCGCTGCCATCTTCTTTTGTCAGGGCCTGCGGCAGGATCCAACAGGGTGCCGGGAAAGCTGCAAGTGAGCTCGAGGAGAGTCCAGCAGGTCCCGAGAAGGATTGCAAGCAGGCCCTAGGGTGCCAAGACAGGCTTTGTAGGGGTCCAAAACAACTTGCAGACTTGTCTCCTCGCATATGTTCTGACGCGTTTCGGCCGTGGTCCGCGGGATTATTCTGTTCATCCGCCTTTTTGCGTTCATTTCCGACGCCTCGCGTATTTCCGCCAGCCAAGGCAAAAGCAATCACCAGGCGAGTTGCCTCGATCAGCATGTGTAGCAGCATGCGGCGCCGCAGCGAACCGAATGCGTTTTCACTGGTTCTGCACGGGAGGAGGACGAGGAGGTGGAGGAAGCGAAGGAACAAATATGGTGGCGAAGGACCAGTAGTAACGAAAGAACAGAAACAGCAAAAGGATGGACGCGTGCTGGAGGAAACAGCAACATGCTAGAGCATGAGAAGGTCGGAAGGATGATGAGGGACCTGAGGGGGGGAGGGTTACGAGGAGCCAGGGGGCGGTGGCGACCGCATTGGTGATCCGCGCAGAACACCAGTGCGCCGCATCCTTTCGTAAACGAGGATGCAGGAATGCGCCGGATGGGGAGGTGGGAGGAGCATGGGGGAGGTAGGAGGGCATGGGGGTAAGAACACTCCGGACGAAGCAGTTCCAGAGACGGTGCCCAGGCAAATTGTGTTGATCAGAAACGTGTGCCAGCACGGTGCTCAACCAAGAGGGCGACGCTGTTTACGTTAGAAACGTGAGGGCGGCGCAGAAGGAATCGGCTGATCAACGGCAGCGGGGAAGGAGGGCAAGGAGGAGGATGATGAGGACACGGAGGAGGGGCGGGATGGGGACGAGGAGTAGGAAAAAGGAAGGATGGGAGAGAAAAAGTCACGACGACGGCCAGAATCAATCATGGAGGATTTTGTTTGTTTTTCGCACGCGGCTCTTGTTAGAAGCCCCTTGGGGTGATTTGTGGGCCATTGTCGAGCTAATTTGGAGCCATTTTGGGAGAGCCTACGGGGTCCTCTTGAGGCTGTTTCGGGCCTCCTTGGGATCCTCTTCGGGGTCTCGTGGGCCCGTCTTGGAGGCCTTGGGGGCCCTCTCGGGGCCATCTTGGAAACGCCGTCAGTCAAAGAACACGGGGGGGGGGTCCTTGCAGCGCCCCCTCTCTGGAGCCGCCCACGTCGCCTTTTGGCGCTCTCTTGGGGCGTTCTTCGGCTGCTCTTGAACGCTCTCGGCGCCGTCTTGGGGCGTGTCGGGTTCTTCTGGAGGGCCATCTCAGGCCAGCGTGGCCATCTTGAGGCCTCAAGAGCCCATGGAAAACGAAAAGGCGACGATACATAACACATAGCACGCAATGGTTGTCACATTTTCCCGGGAAGGGCGTAGGCCCAGGGTTCTCTTTTAGTATGTAAACATGTCCCGGGTGCCCAACTTGAAGGAGGCCGGCGGATTCTTTCCCTGATAAATATCGAGGTCGAAGGAGGCCGGCGGATTAAAATTTGAGGATGTCTCAGGCGAAACGCTTGTTTTTGAAATCCCGATCGATAAATCACAGGGTGCGGGACACCTCAGCACGACCACACCCCCAGCATGACCACACCCCAGCACGACCACGCCCAGCACGACCACGCCCCAGCACGACCACACCCCAGCACGACCACACCCCAGCACGACCACACCCCAGCACGACCACACCCCAGCACGACCACACCCCAGCACCAGCACGACCACACCCCAGCACGACCCGATCGATAAATCACATGGTGCGGACCACCCCAGCACGACACACACCCCAGCACGCACCCCAGCACGACCACACCCCAGCACGACCACACCCCAGCACGACCACACCCCAGCACGACCCCACCCCAGCACGACCCACCCCAGCACGACCACACCCCAGCACGACCGCACCCCAGAACGACCACACCCCAGCACGACCCCACCCAAGCACGACCCCACCCCAGCACGACCACACCCCAGCACGACCACACCCCAGCCCCACCCCAGCACGACCCCACCCCAGCAAGACCACACCCCAGCACGACCACACCCCAGCACGACCTCACCACAGCACGACCACACCCCAGCACGACCACGCCCCAGCACGACACGCCCCAGCACGACCACGCCCCAGCACGACCACAGCACCCAAGCACGACCACACCCCAGCACGACCACTCCCCAGCACGACCACACCGCCTTGGTTGAGTGGTTGCCTGTCGTCGTGGAATGTTTCGTGGGGTGTCTCGTGGAATGTTTCGCGGGGTGTCTCGTGGAATGTTTCGTGAGGTGTCTCGTGGAATGTTTCGTGAGGTGTCTCGTGGGATGTTTCGTGGAGTGTCTCGTGGGATGTTTCGTGAGGGGTTGCCCAGTTGGGTATCGTGAAAACGTGTCCATGCTCCACATGTCTATATTCCTTTCCGGGTTCGTGGGTTCATCATGTTTTGTCTTGGAGGCCTCCTTGGAGAGCTCGAAGGGCACGCGGGGCCGTCTTGAAGCGGTCTTGACGACTTTCAGAGGCATGTTGGAGGCTATTCGGAATCGTCCTGGGATGCATTGAGCGATATTGGAGGCGTATCTGGGCTCCT